ACGAATCTGATCACGGGCGGGCAGGTGTACCTGCAGCAGTACAAGTTTCCTTTCGACCCGTCCGCCGCGTTCCACACCTACACCATCGTCTACTCGCCGGATTACGTCATGTGGGCCATCGATGACACCCCGATCCGCATCCACTATAAGGAGAGCGGCCGCCCCTTCCCGTCTCAAAACGTCAAGTTCGAGGTATGAATTTCCTACCGTTCTCCAAATTTTCGCTCAGGCCCATAAACCGTTCCGCTTAGCGTTCCAAGATAGCTCGTCACGTGCCTTTTAACCTTACTATCTCACCCTCATCTACTCGCATCCTCCCGCCCCAATCGCTCCAGGGTTCCATCTGGGACGCGTCGTCGTGGAGCCAGCTGAAGCCCAACTGGGGCAACGGTCCCAAGGAGGTGATTTTCCGCCGCTTCGATGTTCGCCGCACGTGCAAGGCGTCGGGGCAGACGGGCACCCCGTGGTGCAATAGCCTCAAGGGCAACAAGGCCCCCTGGACCCGCAAGCCCAGCGCTGCCGCAATTGCGCGCAGCAACGATTTCCGGAAGAACTACCTGGTGAAGGACTACGGCTGGTCGCGCACATCATAAGGATTTGTTCGCACTTCTTTTTTGGGTGGTGGTATGGTGATGGTTGGACCTAGAGCTGACAGTCGGCGTATCTCTTTGCTAGTCTTCCTAGCCGACCTTAGGTTTGTGTTTGTGCTGGTCACGTAGATCTCAAGCTTCCGTGAGTACTTCCAGGTTTGCTTCAGCAGATTTCTGATAGAATAATGTGATATTTTAGAATAAAATGCCCTGCGTGCACCCTGTGCTGGTGTATGTGATGAATAAAATGTATTTATCTTACAAATGAAATTCTAAATAGAGGGCTAGCCCCAACTTCTCCCCCTTTTACCGTATCCAGAGTGGTTGCACCACCCAGAGATGAGTGGGTGCTGTGGCCCTCGGCTGTGGCTGTCCTTCCCCATCCTTCTACTGTATGCTGAGGCAAGAGCGCCACCCCCGGGAACTCGCGGTTCAGGTCCTGCAGAACCTGAACCGCTCCCTGAGCCTTCTTTGCACGGTTCCCGCTCAGCCTGGCACCCAGGAAGTAAAATCGTGGCCGCGGCCGCTGTATGTGAGGCCCGGTCCCCGGGTCCAGCATGGCAAGCAGGAAAGGAACTCGTGGCCAGCTGCGCCCATCTCCCATGGAGTCTCGGCGCGCAGCCACGATTGCTACAAGAAGGCGCCAGGTTCGGCGCGCAGCAACGATTTCCAACAGGCGAGCCTGTTGGGAGTACGTATTCAGTGGGAATGGAACGCTTACTGCTCACCGAGGAGATTCGGTTGGGAGATCTCACCAGACGATAGGCAGCCATTCGTGGGAGATCCCCAGGGTCGGTGAGCTCCACCTGGTATGGTAGCAGAATAATTCATGGCTGCCTATCCTCCCCACGAATTCCCCTTATGGCGACATTACGCCATATACCCCTTAGGGTACTGGACATTTGCGATGCTATTTCAGATGCTTGGTGAGACTCTTTTCTCTCTTCCTCTCCCAAGCTTCTCTCCCTCCTCCCCTACTTGCTACATCAATGCACTCTTTCCAGGAGCGGCAGATCTCCTTTGCCGAGGGCAATTTGCAGTCCGGGTGTGCTTCCTTGAATGTCCATTATTAAACCAGCAGCATGCATGGACGGCGAAGAGCACGCCGCTTGCTCTTTATTTTTCTTCACTAGGAGCTCTATTCCTACGGCACATCTAGCAACACCCACACAGTCCTAGTCATGAACCAATTCAGAACTTTCGGGAAGAATAGCATCAGAATTGACTGACTAATTACTAGCTCGTAAGTGCAACCCTTGGCACACCACCAAGCACCAGCAAATCCTCAAGATGTGCGCGACCAGCCGTAGTCCTTCACCAGGTAGTTCTTCCGGAAATCGTTGCTGCGCGCAATCGCGGCAGCGCTGGGCCTGCGCGCCCAGGGAGCCTTGTTGCCCTGCAGGCTATTGCACCACGGGCGGCCAGTCTGCCCTGACGCCTTGCACGTGCGGCGCACATCGAAGCGGCGGAAAATCACCTCCTTGGGCCCGTTGCCCCAGTTGGGCTTCAGCTGGCTCCACGACGACGCGTCCCAGATCGAGCCCTGGAGTGTTGGGGTGGGGTGGGTGGGGCGCGGTGGGGGGTTAAGAGTCGGCGTGGGTTTTGAGTCGCCTCAAAAGTTGGGCCCGTTGCCCCAGTTGGGATTCAGCTGTCTCCATGACGACGCGTCCCAGATCGAGCCCTGGCGTGTTTGGAGCAGGAGGATGCGAGAGTGTGGGAGAACCAGGGAAGCCGATATAGAACGCTTGGAAAGCACGTGAAACCATCCCATCTTGAGACAATAGGCGAAAGAGCTTTGGGACTAAGCGATAACAGAAAATGGATATTGCTAGAAAGCCTTCGTACTTCGAACTTGACGTTTTCGGACGGGAAGGGGCGGCCGCTCTCCTTATAGTGGATGCGGATGGGGGTGTCATCGACGGCCCACATGACGTAATCCGGCGAGTAGACGATGGTGTAGGTGTGGAACGCGGCGGACGGGTCGAAGGGGAACTTGTACTGCTGCAGGTACACCTGCCCGCCCGTGATCAGATTCGTGTGCAGAATAATATCCTTGGGGGTATTTCCCCCGATGAATTCCAGGTCGATCTCGTCATGAGGGTCGGTGTATTTCGGGTTGTTGCCCGAGATGAGGTAGAGGCAGGGGATCAAACCGCCGGAGTAGCCGGAAGGGAGCTTCATGTTGACTCGGAAGATTCCGTATCCGAAGTAGCCCTTGGATGTGAACTCTGCGGCGTTGGGGGGAGGGGCGGAAGCGGAAAGAGGAAAGGGAAAGGGAACGTGTGAGGAACGAAGACGACCCAAGGAGGGGTAACCTTACGCAGAATGTACCTGCGTACAAGTTGGTTGCAAAGGTAAGGACGGTCCAGATCTTGAGTAGGAAGCAAGGAGGCGGAGTGGGGGCGTGACGGGTTAGTGGCAGGTCAGAGGATGGGTGAGAAAAAGGTGAGTGAACTTACGCCTTCCATCGCTCGATTCCGTCGCTGTGAATGTGCTTCACAATTAAACGTTTCGACTGAGCGTGATGCTACCGTTTCCCCTACTAGGTGCACTCACTCATTGCCTCCGCCATCGTGCCTCCCCCGGAATGCACTACCCACTTGCTGCCAGTAGTGCACTGCATGTAAAATCCTTCTAGCCCATAGTGCCTTCCGCGATACCACTCACTGCCTGTGATACTCTCACTGCTTGTTCCGCGATCACCGGCCCGTAATGCACTCACTGCCCATCTTATTCGTGTAGGCGGAGAGCTTCACGGAGCCGTCGGATTGGCGAGAGCAGCCGCCGTCCCACTTGCAAAAGTCGGGCAGAGCCATGAACTTGTCAAACGACCCGTCATACTTCGCCGCCGCCGTCACCACGCACGCGAGCAGCATGCCTAAAATCAATAGGCGGCTCGTCGCCATGGTTCTTAGAGAAGAAAACGACGGAGAGAACGATGGCAGGAGACTGGGATGGTCCTCGCGTTTGGCGACAGCCTTGCGGGTTCGAAAGGATACTGGGGAGCCGAATTACGGAAAGGCGCGCGATGATAGAGGAAGAGAGGAGGGCTTTTCAAGTGGCGTGGTTGCGCAAATGCTCTTAGCTTCTAATTCATGTGTCGCATCGCGTTGAACAAGGAGGAGGGGGGAAGAGCGCTGAGAGGGGGGGCAAGAGGAGAATGGTCTCATTAGTTGTGAGAGTTGCGCGCCGCTGGTTGGGCTGAGCAAGCCAATCTGTTGCGCCCCTTCTCACTTTGGCCGAGTCGCGAGATTACAATTGACCCACATTCTCGAGAGCTCCGCTTCTGTGGGTTTGTGGCGACGAATCGCAATCCCCGTGTCGCCAGTGAGTACGACAGGCTACGTAATCGTGTGTGATGTTGGCCCCTGCTATCGTCGTATAAGTGGGTGCCAACTGGCGTGCTTCTTCCCCACCGACAATTGCAGAGCACCTTTTGACGGTCAGGGACGGTTGCAATTGATTCGCCATACTTTCCGAAGTTCCTGTAAAAGGGGAAGGCCGACAGCTGGGCTCGTTTGTATCACCCAACACACTTGCAATCAGCGGCTCTGCGCGCGAGGTGGATAGGAGTCGCCGCGCACTACCTCATCTGTTAAAGTGTACACCATGCCAGACTATACCTGTTAGGTGTTATCAAACAGAGTGCTGGAATAACGAACGGGAAAAAACACAGTGAGCGAAGGCACAAGCAAACACAAAATCTTCAGTAATTTGAAACTCCGGCAAAACCGTGAGCCGCGCTGGCTGGTTTGGAGCAAGTCTTCTCATTTTCCTCAAAAACACCCATGTGAAACAAAGTATCAACATTATTTTCCTTTTCAAGCTGGGTTGGGTTCCACTAAATAGGTGAAGCTTGAAACGAGTTCCAACAGAACTGTGATCAGGTCTCGTCTGGTCCACCTGCAATCCACCTGGGGTCAATCGTTTACTGTGCAGGGCATTCGACTGCTTCACAACTGTTCACTGTAGTTACGTGTACAGTTCATGAACGAGCCGCTATTTCGGAAACAACCTGCCCGTGTAACTGCGGGTGCTTCTCGTTCCGCCGACACTGGTGAAAGGTACCTGTCGTAGGCATCGCATTCCGTCGCATAAAGTTGCATCCGAGTCCCATCTCCGCGAAACTAGGGTTTCCGACTTCTGCCAGCGCGGTCGACGGATCTGCTCACTCGCGGAACATGATGCACGAGCAATTCCAAGGTCGGAAGTCCACGGCGCTGGTCCTCCTGACTCGCCTGGGCTGCAGCCTGACTGGTCATACCACCCGTCGCTTGCAGCTCTGCTTTTGTGATTCAATTGAGTTCATTGCCGTCATTCGAACTCTTGCAGTGTTACCTGGGAACGATTAACACAGCGATAGCTTGTGATCACGTCTGAAAGCTTACCCTATCTGTCTGGCTTGAAGTAATGGCGGGAAAACGTCCCGCATACTACGGCGGGGTCGGCCAGAGCACTGTCGCCGCTGCGACAGCCCTTCCGTTCCTCCTCCTCCTCATCCTACCAGCGTCGACGGACGCCGGCGCAGCTCGACCCACCATCAGCGCCGCTCTCCTCGCCGCCACTGGACCAGCGGCGCGCCGCGTTGGCGGCGCCGGCCGCTACGAGAATCTCGCGCGGCGGGCGCTTCAAGACTACTCCGACTACGAGCCGTGGGTGGAACCACCCGAAGAATGCCACGAGGAGCAGGGGAATTTGAACTGCCCCAGTGGCGGCGGGTGCATGCACGAGTCGCAGGTGTGCGACGGCAAGCCGCATTGCTCCGACGGCAGCGACGAGTCGCCCGACTTCTGCCGCGAGTTCGACTGCGAGCTCGTTCGCAAGGTGCGTGCTGTGCTGCTTCAAACTTACGGATTTTTGAACTCCTCGCTTCTTAACTCGAGCTTATGAGAATCTCTATTGCCCGTTCTCAGTTCTCAAAATGCAATGCCTCTGACTCAGACTCTCCTTCCCACCCCTCTTTTGCCCCATTTCCCCTTCCCGTTTCCCCTTTTCCCCTTTCCTCCCTTCCACCGTTTCCCCTTTTCTCCTTTGCCCCTGTTTCCCCATCAAGGCCACCAGGTGTCCTGCCCCATGCTCACCGGCTGTATGCCTACTCCCAAGGCGCCTCATAGTCATTTCGTCTTGCCCCCTTCCCCTCGCTCACGGGGTGCATGCCCCCGGGCGGGGAGTGCAACGGCGTGGCGGACTGCGCGGACGGCAGTGGCTCTTTCCCCCTCTTCCCCTCTTCCCTTGTTTCTCCACTGGGTCCGCCAGGTGTCCTGCCCCTCGCTCACCGGGTGCGTGCCCCCGGGAAGCGAGTGCAACGGCGTGGCGGACTGCGCGGACGGCCATCAGGTGCCCTGCCCCCATGCTCACCAACTGTCTGCCTTTCCTTTTGCCCCCCTCCCCTTGCCCCCTTTCCGCTCCCCTTGCACCACTGGCAGGTGTCGTGCCCCACGCTCACGGGCTGCATGCCCCCGGGCAGCGAGTGCAACGGCGTGGCGGACTGCGCGGACGGCAGCGACGAGGGGCGGCAGTGCCGGCAGGGCTACCAGGACGACAGCAACTACTGCGCCGACCAGGGCCTCGAGCAGTGCCCCTCCGACCGCTACGCGTGCCTGCGCCAGGAGGATTATTGCGACGGTTACGAGACGTGCTACGGGTACGACGAAGCGAATTGCGAGAACCACGTGTGCTCGTTTGGGATGATTCAGTGCCCCAAGACGTTCTACTGCGCGTGGGGGACTCTCTGTGACGGCGTGCAGGACTGTGTGATGACTGCTGAGGCTGAGGATGAGGATAAGGCGTTTTGTAGGGGGTATAGCTGCCCCGAGGGGTTTAAGAAGTGTGCGGATGGGTTGCAGTGCGTTGCAGAGGGGTTGTTTTGTGATGGGACGGTGAATTGCAACGATGGGAGTGACGAAGGGGCAGCAACGTGTGCTGTGAACCCCCCTGCTGGGGATGGAACAGGCACGGTTACCACTACTCCTCCTCCTCCTCCTCCTCCTCCTGCTGAAACTGGATCGGGCTCTTCTGGAAGCGGCACTACATCTCCTCCTGCTCCTCCTCCTCCTCCTACTCCAACTGTGCCCCCCGGTGGCGGCAGCGGCAGTGGGGGCTCGTCTGGTTCTTCCGGAGGGACTGTGGTGCTGAGTGCTGAAGAGGTGGCGAGGCAGAGGAAGGAAGCAGCGGCACGGAGGGCGGCTGCTGTTGCTGCTAAGAAGCAGGCTGCTGCTGCTAAGCATGCTGCTGTGGAGGCACGGCGGGCGAAGCAGGAGGCGAAAGCAGCTGCGATTGCTGAGAAGAAGAAGAAGCAGGAGGAGAAGGCTGCTGCTGTTGCGGAGAAGAAGAGGCTTCAGGAAGCTAAGGCGGCTGCTATAGCTGAGAAGAAGAGGAAGCAGGAGGAAAAAGCTGCTGCTATTGCTGAGAAAAAGAGGATGCAGGAAGCTAAGGCTGCTGCTATTGCTGAGAAGAAGAGGAAGCAGGCAGAAAAGGCAGCTGCGATTGAGGCTAAGAAGAAGAAGCAGGCTGAGAAGGCTGCGGCGATAGAGGCTAGGAAGGAGAGGGAGGCTGCAAGGGCAGCAGCTGCGACCAAGTGAAGGGGAACAGATGGACAAACATGACAACATTATATAATAATATATGTTGTAGCTTACCTCTGCTGTCTTTCTGTACCCCAATGTTTTGTTTGCTTGTTTGTTTATTTGTTTTTTTTATTTATTCGTATTCTTCTATCACGACTCGTCACTCGGGCATCACAGCTCGTCACTCGTTACTAGTAGAGTCTATCATGCATAGGCACATGAACCTTGAGTCTTGACAATAATAAAAATGTTTTGTTTCTTACTAAAGTGAATTTGAAGCAAATTATTCCCTACTATAATAAATTGGTAGGAAATTGCGGAAATTTCAACCGCATAGGCACATGAACCGCAAGAAACTTCTAGACAAGAAAACAAAATACCATTTGTTATCTTATATGTTCCCAATTTTCCGATGTATGATGAGATTTGATTATGGGTTTGTGTAAGGAATTTTCACAACATTCCTTAGCGCATCCTGCAACATCGCGTACAGCAGCAGCCGTTGTTCGCCTGTTACTGCTAACGGAACGGGGCTTCGCCGACTTCGCGCGCACTGTTTCACCAAACCATGCACCGCTGGCCCGGCCGTGTCGGCCTACGCTTCGGGACTAGCCCAAGCCTCGATGCCAGCCTAGCACTAGCTAGCTCGCACGCACAGTGTTAGAATGAGAAGCAAGAATGACTGCATTGAGAGGATTGTGGGTACAAGTACTAACCCTAATATTGGGTTGTACCCCATACAGGCTACCTTACTATAGCCTACACAGAACTAACACATATATAGTTTGACACACCCCCATAGGCAAAGTGGGTGAGAACAACGGGTCATAAGTGTTGGGTCGAGAAAAGCCCTTAGGATCTTTGCAAGGCTAAACTCTGAGTAGAGATATTGCAGTTGCGGAAGCGTTGAACCACCTTGCGCTAGTATGCGAGGGCAAGATAGAATACTTAAAGGAAAGAGATACAAGTTGAGAAGAATGAAGAACGAGGATGAATGAACTATGAATGAGGTGAGTACATATAGAAAACCCTAATTGGGTTGTACCCCCTATGGGATACCCCACTATAGCCTACACAACAGCATAAGCTATATAATGTTCTGACACACCCCCATAGGCAAAGTGGGGGAGAACAAGGGGTCACAAGACCAGACAAGCAAAGCAGAGCAAGCTCAGGGTGGATCACAACGTCACCACACAGTCCGAGCACAACGACAAGGCCACAAGGCCAGTTCACATGCAGGAGTACACATATATATATAGAGCTAGACAAGCAAGAGCAGGTATATATATGTGACAGTACAAGTAAGGTCAAGAGGAGAGCAAGTGAGGCAAGACAGGTACAAGACCCAGCTGAGTGCAGAAGCGCTGATGGTCACAAGGCGCAAGTGCCTTGGTGAACACATCAGCAGTGTTGGCCTGAGAGGCCACGTACGCAAGTCGCAACTGACCACGCTGCTGCAGCTCACGAGCAAGAAAGTAACGGAGAGCAATGTGCTTCGTTCTGTGCTCCAAGCGCTGCTCTCGACACAAGGCCAGCATGGCCTTGTTGTCTACGTACAGCACTGGAGGAGAACGAGGCGGCTCTCCAAGGTCAGTCAGCAGGTAGGTGAGCCAGCGAAGCTCCTGTGCAGCCATGGCCCCGGCGTAGATCTCAGCCTCACAACTGGAGCCGAGAACAGAGGACGAGCGGGTAGCTCGCCACGAGACAGAGCCGGAACCAAGACTGAAGGTGTAACCCTGCGACGACCGCTGCGTAGCCTGGTCGTCAGCCCAAGAAGCGTCCGCGTGCCCAGTGAGGACCACTGGACTCCGCCCTCCAAGCACTAGTCCCATGCCCGACGTACTGCACAAGTATCGCAACACCCTCTTCGCTGCAGCCATGTGCTCTGGTCGGTGTCTCCCAGGAGCAACATAGCGTGCAAGAATGCTAAGAGGGTATGCAAGGTCAGGTCGTGTGCAGGTCATCAGGTACATGAGGCAGCCAACAAGCTCTGGATACGGGCCACTCGACTCTACGGACTCATCCGAAGGCAGAGCTGAGAGTGAGTGGCGAGTAGGCAGAGGAGTGGCCTGAGGCGAGGAGTACGTGAAGCCGAAGCGCTGAAGGACCTGCTGCACCATGTGTGACTGAGTCAGGGTAATGGTGCGGCGTGCTCTGTCCCGGGTGATCTGCAAGCCAAGGTAGCTGCGCAGTTCACCCAGGTCTGTGCACGTGTGTCTCTTCTGCAGCTCGGACTTCACGTGGGCGAGTCCAGCAGTGTCAGCTGTGGCAAAGACCAAGTCGTCGACGTACACGAGGATGTAGAACGGCGGCAGAGAGGTGTCGGTGCGTAGAAACAGCGACGGGTCGGCAGTAGAAGGAGCAAACCCAAGAGCCGCAAGCGTAGTCCTCAGTGTGTCGTGCCACTCACGTGGCGCCTGGCGGAGACCGTAGACTGGACGCCGGAGACTCCACTGGGTACCAGGAGGGAAAGACCCAGTGAAGCCAAGTGGGCGGCGCAGCCAGATCTCCTCGTGCAGGCTGCCCTGCAAGAAAGCAGTGCTGAAGTCGAGAGAGTGCAGCTCGTAGTCACGGTGAGCAGCAACGTGTAGCAGCACCCGAAGAGTGGTCATCTTCGGGGTGGGGGAGAAGGTCTGAAAGTAGTCAACTCCCTGTCGTTGACTGAAGCCACGAGCCACGTAACGTGCCTTGAAGACAGGCGGAGAACCCGGCGGCCGCTTCACCCTGAAGATCCACATGCCACTGACGATGTTCGCCCCAAGAGGGGGGACAGCGTCAACGTAGGTGCCTGTGGACTTCCAGGAAGCCATCTCTGCATCCATAGCTGCCTGCCACTGAGAGGAGTAGGGACCCTCTATCGCCTCCGCGTAAGAGCGCGGAGTCGGGATGTCAAGTGCATCCGGGTCTCCCTCAGGGGTAAGCAGTACGGACACGAGATGAGGTGAAGTAGCTGCCAGACACTGGAACTCCTCCTGCCTGTCCTCAAGGACGTCCGTGCCAAGGGCACACTCACCCCCGACTGACGGAGGACAGGCAGACCCAGACTCAGCGACAAGACTAGCAGCGTAGTCTAGGCGACAGCGAGCAGCAAAGTCGACGAGCTCAGTAACTAGGGCAGACGCAGCAGTAGACTCGAAGGAAGGGTCAGTGACGACAGTAGCAAGGAGACGCGTGACAGTAGGACTGGCAGCACGAAGAGAGTCCGACGCAGGGTCGGGAAGAGCAGGAAGAGAGGACTCAGGAGGAGAAGGCAAAGGGGCACGCAGAGGAGCAGTAGACGGACGCAGAGACATCCTGTGCGTGCCAGGGACAGGAGGAGGACGCTGACGCGAACCACGACCACTAGCGCGAGCAGCACGGACAGGCGACGCAGGGCGAGACGCAGGCTCACGACGCTCAGTAAGACCTCCAGTAGGACCAGTGTAGGGAGAAGGAGCAGGCAAAGGGGAGGTAGGCTGTAGCAGTGACCGCGACGGGACAGGCTGTGGACCCTCCAAGAGAGGAGGAGGACCAGGAGAGGGCGGAAGACCAAGAACCTGCTGCAGGAGTGGAACGAAGTACGGTCGAGGCCGCGTAGCTACGCCAGAAACAGCAGGGACAGCACCAGTACCCCCAGCAGGAGCACCCGCTCCAGCAGCACCTCCAGTAGCTCCAGAACCTCGAGCAACACCAGGAGCACCCCCAGCAGGACCGCCAGCGGTAGTCTCAGCGCCAACACCCTCAGCAGCACCAGCTCCAGTCGAACCCGCAGGCCCAGCAGCTCCAGTACTCCCAGTACGAGCACCTCCGGGACCCGCAACAGCAGCACCCTCAGTAGCCGACGAACCTCCAGCACCAGCAGCACGGCTCCAGCGCCGGGCAAACCACTCGCGCAGCTCCTGTGGAGAGAGTGGCTCCCGGCGAGACAAAGCACGCGTAGAAACTCGAGGCGGAGGACCTCCAGGCGCAGCACTCCCAGGTCCAGCACCCCCAGGCAAAGCACCCCCAGGCGTAGCACCCCCACACTCAGCACCCCCAGGCTCAGCACCCCCAGGCTCAGCACCCCCAGGCTCAGCACCCCCAGGCTCAGCACCCCCAGACTCAGCACCCCCAGACTCAGCACCCCCAGGCTCAGCACCCCCAGGCCCAGCACCCCCAGGCCCAGCACCCCCAGGCTCAGCACCCCCAGCAGTACCAGAGTCACCAGTGACCTCGACAGGCTCGACTGCGTCTACCTGGGACACACCTGAAGGGGCAGGACCCTGAGGGGGGAGGGGGTCTACCGGGGGGGGACCTGGTACAAGGAAGAGCGGGGGCGGGGGGGGGGACGGAGTGCGGTAGGGGAAGAGGCGGTAGTAGGGTACCGACTCGTCGAACGTGACGTCCTGAGAGGACAGAACAAGGCGAGAGGTGGGGTGGTAGAACTGCCACCCAGGCGCGTCTGGGGGGAACCCCAGGAAGACGCAAGGAGCAGCACGAGGGGACAGTTTGTCCGCAGACAAGTCGCGGACAAACGCCCGAGATCCCCAGACCCGGAACGCCGACGCATCGCCCACCTTCCCGGTCCACAGCAAGGCTGGGGAGGTCTCCGGCCTGGAGACCCTGGGGTGAAGGTTGATCTGACGTGCCGCGTACCTCACCGCAAACGGCCACAGAAAATGGGGGGCAGCCGCATGCATCATAGACGTACGAGCGACGTCCATGACCATGCCAATGCGGCGCTCAGCAATCCCATTTTGCTGCGGAGAGTCCGGGAGCGTGAAGGTCTGACGGATGCCCCGTGCACGACAGTAGGCTCGCAGAAGGCCAGAGGAGAACTCTCCGCCTCTGTCCGAGTGCAGACGCAGAACAGGAAAGTCGGAGCCAAAGCTCTGCCTGAGCTGGAGACGAGCTGCGCGGATCCAGTCGATCAGCACCTCAGTGACATCACCCTTGCCGCGCAAGGGGAAGACTGCGGTGTAACGCGAGTAGTCGTCAACAACGAGCAGGAAGTAGCGCTCGTGACCCTGCCCACGGACGCGGGCTGGGCCCCA